ATTTAGATTTAATAATATATATCTCTAAGATTAAGTTTAGTGAAAATCTTTACTCTACTTAAGCGATCTAGAACCTTAAGGATTAAAGGTAGAGAGTAACGGTTCTTCTAGGTGATCTTATTTAACGTACGATAGTTAACGTAAAGTTATAGGCTACCGTTAGGTTTTAGTACGAATAGAATTATTACTCCTATTAGGGAGTTACTTAGTTAAATCTATCCTCTCGCTAGGGCTATCTTAATATACTTACGTAGGACTCTTAGCTTATTTATACTTATAGAGTAGAGAGATCTATATAGGATTATCTTACCCTCCTTAATAGGGATAGAGTATTATATAAAGGTCTTATCTCTAAATATTAACTAGGAACTTTATTATATAAGCTTTAATCTTCTTATAACGCCTTCTAAGGGCTATAAGACTCTATACGCTGAGGAAGTCGATCTAAAGTTATCTAAAGGTCTACCTTAATTATTTATATAATTAGGTATTTTAGTTAGACTCTAGTCTAGAATTAAATCCTTATATTCCTTTTCACTAAGAACTCCTACTCTACTAGTATTATAATAACGGATATCTTAGATTCCTAATACTACTATTTAATAACGCTATATATAAAGCTAGTATCTTAAACGAGATAGAGTCTAATATAAAGTTACCCTGAGGTGTTCCTTGGGTTTTGTAGGGTCTTAAGCGCACTTTGATTATCGGTGAAGATGATGAAGTTTTTGTCGTTGTATTCAGGGCCGGTACGAGTTATCAAGATCTGTAAAGCCAGTAGGATGCCCTTCAATTCAGCCGCGTATATAGTGCTTTGGGTATCTGTGCCCATATACTCCGTTCCCTTCTGGAGCACCCGACTTGATATTGAACTTAGAGTTGATAGGATCACCGCTGCGGCGCCGACATGTCCATTAATGCCACTACCGTCCGTGTAGATGTAGATGGTGTGGGAGCCCTCGCTGAGACTATTATATTGCGACATCGCCTCCTCTGGTATGCCCGCTATAATAACCGGCGGGGCCTTCCACCAGGGCGTGATAACATAGGGTTAGCGGTGTTCTAGGTCGACGTGATGGATCTAATACCGTTTCTGTAGGACTCTAGCGTGACGCAATATTGGGCTCTCCTTAGAATATCTTCGCTCTCCGCCAATATCATCGAGGACTAGACGGAAGGGACAGGATAACAGTCTCAAGGTGGTATGCAGACTCAACTTTTCCATTTGTTAGTCTAGGGGTAATAGATGTGCTTCGACTTCCACTGCGTTCGCGGCCGTTGTTCGGAATGCTCCTGTGATGATCTGGGCCGCTCGTCTTTGGACTGAGGTGAGTAGGCGTGCGGTTTGTGTTTGTCCTTTGGGAGGGCGGCCTAACCGTCGGTATTCCCGGAGCTTATACTAGGCCGAGCATCCGTATAGAAGCTGAGGCAGGAGCATCGCCTGATACACCTGTCGGAGAGTCATCAAATCGGCTCCCTAGGTGGACGATGTAAGGGAGGAGAGAGCGGTCAGACGCTGGAATGCCTTCTGCCGAATTCGTTGCACATGGTCCCTCCATGTGAACTTGTTGTCGATCTGGAGGCCTAGGTACCTGCATGAAGTCACTGGCGTGATCGTGATTTCCGGAAGACGCAAAGGATGTTTTGTGTTAACATAAGCGTTTCTGGCGAAATGAATGACAGTGTATTTAGACGTTGCGAATACCGATCCATGTTTTCGGGCCCATTTTTGTGCTTCTTGATGTGCTATTTTGAGTGCATGAGTATTGTGTTGCGGGGTGGCGCCGGTGGCTAGGAGGGATACGTCGTCGATATAGCCGATAGTGTCCAATTTCTCATTAGCACAGACTTCCAGAAGGTCGGCGTTATAGAAGAGGTATAAGATCGGTGATAGTGGGGATCCCTGTAGTATACCGGCAAAGACATCTGTCGCCTGCCCCGTGAACTCTGGTAGAACAAGTGTCGTTATACGGTCGTTCAGGAAGGATGCGATCCAGTTTACCGTAGCGGGATCGATCCTTCTTTTGCGCAGGTTGTGTAATAGCCTAGGGTGAGACACATTGTCAAAGGCACCTGATACATCCAAAAGTAACAGGCTAGCGACCTGTTTTCGATCCTATGCTTAGTGAATTCGGGTGAGAAGGGAATGGAAAGCGTACTCGGTTGATGCCATCTTCCGTCCCCCGATATGATTGATAGGTAGGAGGCTGAATTTCTCTGCTAGGTACATTAATCGGGTGCCGATGACTACTTCTAGGGCTTTACCGACGGTATTTAGCAGTGCGATAGGCCGGTAAGCCTTTAGTTGAGAGTAGTCATCTTTTCCCGGCTTCCTTAGCACCACCGTGATTAACTGCCGGAAATGCCTAGGAAAATATCCTATGCTCTAGCTTACATTGAACAATCGGTGGAGCGCTAGAAGGATTAAGTCGAGTACTTTCTGCAGTATGTTATTGGTGATGCCGTCCGTTCCTAGTGCCTTATTTGGCGCCGCTCCCCGGATGGCTCTCTCGATTTCGGACTCTATAATCGAGGGTAAGTGATATAGCTCTAGATATCGATATCCTTATATGTCACTTAGGTCAGCCTAAACGGGCGGCGGAAAGAAGGTTGCACGTAGGAGGTTTGTTTTGCCTTCGGCATCCGTTTCTAAGGTCCTATCGTCCCTTCTGAGTATAGGGGTAACCGACGCGGGTAGTGTTGATTGTCTTTTAACCGCCCATTTGGCAATCTTCTATATACCTTAAGGCGTCGATGCTGCTTCCGTGATCTTCGATCGGTGGATCTGTTGCAGAGTTTTCTTGATCCGTCTTCCTTTCACATTACGCGCTGTCTTATAGGCTTGCTAGTCTTCTTATGACCTCGTCAACTGCCATCTCCTTCGTAGCTGTTATGTCTCTGCGCATACGTCTTTACACTCTTTATCGAAACCGGGTAATGACCGTAGGGAGGGGTTATTCCAGGGCGTAGATCCCTCGATTACTTTTGTAAGAGTGCCAATGAGATGCCTAGTCTAGTCGTCTAGGGCTCGCGGAGAGTCCCAGCTCGGTGGTTCAGCCCGATATATCTCTTTACGGACAATGGATCTAAGCTTATCGATGTCTATTACGGCCCACCGACGTATTCGTCGGACCGTAGCTTCTTTCCAGTTCTAGCTGAACTAGGTGCTGACGGGGAGGTGGTCGGAGTCACAGTCTAGCTCGTGGGCGACCTTATAATAAAGTAGCTGTTCCCTCATCATATGTATCGCAAAGGTAAGGTCAATCGTAGTCTCGTTGGAGAACCATCGATAGGTCTTTAAGCCCATAGGCGTAAGTTACTATAGGCGGGACGATTCTGTAATGTCGAGAAACATGCGAGTCTCGCGGGATGTTCTTTATGTCCAGATACCCGACCATCGCGGGTAATGCAGGTTAAAGTCGGCGAGGAGGAGTAAGTGGTTCTCAGGCTGTTCGGTGTTCAATTCCGCCGCTAAGGTTCGCAGGGTACGGGTCCTGTCGTCGTCCTTCGGTTCATTGTACACGTTGTAGAGGGAGAGGAGGCCTTGACCCGTCTCGAGATAGAGAACGTAGATATCCTCGTTCACATATCGGACGCTCTAGGTGGCTGGATCAATCCTTTTGTTGATAAAAATGCATGACCTAGTACCTTCGCTGTCCATGTATAGAAGGTGGAATCGTTCTTTGGCTGGGTGGTGGGTGGTATGCTGGAAGGGGTTCCGGTAGGGTTCTTAGATTACTAAGATATCGTAATCGAGGATTTCGTGGCGGTGAAATGCATCAGCTATGATCTCCCTCGACTTACGGGTGTTGTACTGTAATATCTTCAGAGTGCGCTCGTTGTAAATCATATAACGGTGTGCCGAGTAGTGCCTTAAGTGTGCTGTCCCTATGTCGTCAGTAATGTAATCCAGCCGGGTGCAATGCCCTTTTCTCCTAATTTCCCTTTCCTGACCGTAAGGTTTCGTATCCCATGTCTCCCTCTGATGTGTTTGTGCAGTTCTGGCGGTGATTCCTGTCGGTAACTGCAATATGTGCATTCTCTCATACAGGTACCGATAATTAATCCTGCGTCTCGAGCGGGCCAGTTGTCGTAGATATGTTCGTGTTCCTCACAGTAGCATCCTCTCCGTGGTGGGGGGAGATTGTCGTACGTCATCGTTACTCTCTCCAGGCGCCTCAATTCTCTCGGGGATAGGGGCCCTGCATGGCGCTGGCTGTCCGGTATCGTTGATATTCCCGGCGTTGGGTCCATGACGATTGTGTCTTCCCAGTTGAGATCCAGGTTTTGGAGCCAGTCGTCCGCCCCAGGAAAATCTTCTGGCAATGGCTCCAGTGGGTAATGAGTTGGAGCTACCGGTTCCTGGACTGTAGGGGGCTCTTCTACCTCTGTCGCTGGGACAGCAGGTACATGATTTACTGTTTGCTGTGATGGCGCACATGATTCGGGGTGGGAGGTGGGTGCCCTTATGGTGGGAGGTGTTGCATTGCTTTGTTGATGTCTCGAGCTCCCTTCCATCACGCTCTCCGCATTTGGCTGTGACGTTGTCGGCTCATGGAAGGATTTCCCACTTGCTATGGCTGAAACGACATATGTCCTCCTCTAATTGAAGTCGGACTCCCAAATTAGACGATCCCCCGCCAAGAAGATTACCGGGACCAAGCCTCGCGATCGCATGTAACGCAGCTTGAAATTAGGCTTATTTCCCCGCCTTTCAACATTTCCTTTTCCAGAGCAATTCTTGCTCTAATAATCAGGTCCCAGAACACTCTTCAAATTATGGAAAGAAGATTACGAAGAACCGATGGAGCAGCAGCTACTCCTCGCGGGACCTCAAGACCATGTTTCTCCCACTCTAGCTGCTGAAACGAACCTTCAGTCTCGAGGAAAAAGAAAATGGCCGCCAACCGACACTGGCATGACCGTTCGAGGAGCGTTTCCACGCAAGAGAGCCTTTGCCGCTTGTCAAGTGTGTCGAGCTCGTAAGACTAAATGTGACAATGCCTGGCCAACTTGCGGAACCTGTCAAGAAAACGGGTCGACATGCAGTTATCCTGACCCGACCGTCAATCATGCTTCGTCAGTCCATCCCTCTCCGCCAGGTCGCGACTCATGCGTGGACTCATCAAAATCTGACAGGATTTCAGGTTCGATCCAGCTGGTTTGACTATTCTTGATCGGTTGAATTACCTGATCGACATAGTTGAGTCTAATGAGACTGCAAAAGAAGGGCAAACCGATGTCACCTCGGCCGTTACGGACAATGGACCCAACGGTCAAGATGCTGAAGCGTCGTCAATTCCCGAAACCGTCTCTGATACGGTGGGAACCACCAGTAGCCTCAAACAACCCGTACGAGCCTCACGCGGCGATAACCTCAATAGTCATCTCCCACAATACTTTCACGGCTCCAGCGAGGACATCTTGGACTGGCCCATATCCCAGTCTAGACACAACCGAGAGCAGATTGAAAGACTTATATTCGACCCTGCTCTGCATTCTGATCTTGAATATTCCAGCCCGGCCGCCCGCTCCGTCTTCTCTCCCATTTCGCCGAGGGATGCGTTAGAAGAACCCCGACGCCGCCTGAGTACAACGCGAGGCATCCGTGAAGAGGATGTTTCAGAGCTAGTGGAGAGATTTCTGACAAATGTTCATACAAAGAACCCTATACTTGACCCCAATGGTTTGAGGGGAATGGTCAAGTCCATTGCGGGAGAAGGTTTCGGTTGGGACGCTCGCACATGTTTGGTGGTAGGTCTGACCTCGACACTTTTGTATACAGAGTATTAACGCTGGACTCAAGCTTCTAGCTTGTGCGTGCTCTGCTATCTCTTCACCATTTATCCGAACAAGTATCACGGGCCGTAGGCTGTATAACTGTCTCGTCGATACCCCGGAGTATGCAACGGCAGAGGCATACTATGATGCCGCACGAAAACGCATTGGTCTGCTCACCAACACACAGTTGGCGACAGAATGCCATTTTGTTGCCGGAGTCTATGAGATGTATTCGAAGCGGCCCCTTCGGGCATCCATCTCCTTCAACAGAGCTTGCGTCGCCTTCCAAGCATTGACGTGGATGCGATCCGAGCACTGCCTAGATGGAAGCCGATTGGAAAAGGCTCAGAAAAGTCGACTTTACTGGTAGTGCCTCAAGTCGGAACAGTATGTCTAGCATTCTGATACATCGAGCCGATCAAAGATGCTGACCACAACCCCCATTAGCGAGATCATGGTGGAGCTGCGCTTCCCTGCGTCCGGACTCACTACACTCAACTATACCCAAGCCTTTCCACCACCTCCTGGGGTTTCTAGAGAGGCCCATCGTTCGTGGCATCCATCAGAAGACAACCAAGCTGATACTGTCAGTGCGGGCAATCTCGAGCCCGAGCAAGAAAGATCTTGGTATTACTACTTGGCGGATATCGCAGTCCGTCGCATCCTTCAGAGAGTATTTGATTTGTTCTACCGATCATCTCATCACGTCTGGCTGCAAGAGGACTTTTCGCGACTGATTTGGTCAGCGGAGGAGCTGGACCAGCAGTTGACCCAGTGGTAAGCAAGCCACTTCTCAGCCTCCACTCATCCCCATGCCAACATCAGTCTTCTTTCTCTAGGTGTGACAACCTCCCAGAGCCTGTTGCATTCCGCCATGACAGCATGTTCACCCTTCCTAACCAATTCCTGCTGAAGCTTGACGCCAATGTCGACTACTTCAAAACCTACCACTGCCCGCTTGGCATGGTGCGAGTGACGGTGGAAAAGGCATGGGGCTTTGCGGAGGAGGCCAAGTCATCCGCGAAAAGGCTGTTCAGCAAGTTGACTCGGGCCGCTCCAGACTGCTATGCCAAGGTCGATGTGGGTGGAGAGGCACCGTGGAAGACAGCCACGAAGAACAACACGAACAGCCTAACGTGGAACGAGACGCATGATTTTGTGGTCAGTGATATGGATCAGTGTATCAAGGTGGATGTGGAAGACGAAGACATCAACGGAGATGATGAAGTCGGCCTTGCGGTGACAACAGTTCGAGAGATTTTGGTGGCTGGAGGTCGACAAGAACTGCCATTGGTTCACAAAGGGGAGGAAACAGAAGGCAGGGTCTCAATCTCCTGCCAATTCTTCAAGTACGTGGCCGATGCCGGCAGCCTCACTGCTTCCGACCACAAAGGCGATGGTCGCGTCTCCGGCATAGCTACCATCCTGGTTGCAAGCGTATACGGCATAAAGGGCCAGCGTGAAGACCTGAAGCCAAGCGTTGTAGTGACTTGGGGCAAGACTCAACGGTTCCAGACCGTCGTCAGGGCAGATGCTCCCGGTACCGACATCAGCAATCCCGCGTTCGACCAGGCTTTCCGAGTTCCCATTACAACAGACTCGGTGGGTAGCAGTCCGGACGACTTTCGTATTGCACTTCTGGACGGCGAGAAGGAGATCGGAGGTGTCGATATACCTTTTGCGAGTGTGGCGAACACACCGGGTAAGATCCTTCAGCAGAAATTTGACGCTGGTAATGGGGCCACCGTCAGAGCTAGCATTCGCCTGAGAGGCATCGTTCCCGAAGAAATGCCAAAGGCAGCGCTTGCTGACAGAAGCAAGCAGTGATACAGCGACAATATGACAGCTTTCGTACTTTAGACAGACCTTGAATATCCCTTGAAAACAAGTTCTACAGAGAAGTACAAGAAGGCAAGATTAGAACATGTCATATAAAGCGTAGTAGGTGTGCTTACTAACGAAGTGGAAGCGAGAACGAGTATTAATTGAGAAGGAGTGGGCACAGTACTCCGTAAGGCATCTCTTACTGCGAAGGCCAGAAGTGGGGTGCTGCATGGGGTCAGAAGCCTGCTCTGGTGAACCACCTCGTTTTCGGGCGGTAGATGCTTGGCCCACGGTGAGTGGTGCACAGCGACTTCCTAATCCTCTCTGAGCCTCCCTGGGAGATGGTAGGGTATCAGGAGCCGAAGCTGGCTTCCCACGCCTATCTCGATGAAGCATGGCTGCTCTTCGGCCCGCTTTGTCTGCCGGCGGTGACATGCACATCTCTTTTTTCTATTGCCCTTGCGTGTCGACCGACCAGATTTGAGCGGTGACAGACTGTCGCTTTTCTGATCCTGAGACGGCCCTTGCGGATGATCCCTGATTTTTGGGGTCTCAAGTTTTCGCCAATCCAAGTTGCACTTCGTGAAAGCAACCACTTTCAACTCTACATTCGGGATCATGACCATTTCGGGCGGAGATGCACAGAGCCTCGCGCTCGGCGCCTTTTATCGGCTTGGCCGAAAGGGTTGCCGAAAAAGTGTTCAGGCCCCCTAGAATGCAGGGGAGTCTCGTATCGCACGAGCGCCCTGGGCCTTAACCAGAGACATTAGCCCTCAAATGACGCCTTTGGGGGCTGCCTCGGCTTGCCGTTGGTTGATCTTTCCACGCCAACCATAACCGCTAACAGAGGAATAAGTATCAACACCATGCCACGCCAAAGCCAACTATCGGTTCCCTCGCGTCAAAATCATTACATACCCAGTTTGGTGCCTGTGCCCGCCAATGTCGTATCGCGGAAAACCCACCAAGGCATGCCAAAAATGCCGTTTACGCAGAGTCAAGGTGAGCGTCCCAATACAACCAGCACAACACGAACTCCCACTCCCTGAGCCGCGCCTTCCAATGTTCCTTGGGGAGATCCAGCAATAATGGCAACCACCCTTATGTCATTTGTTGAATGAGGGCGTCACAGCCCTGCGTTCCTTTCTCAGCTGTTTACCTGCTCATGTCTTGCATCCAGTGCGATCTGGCGTCACCAGTATGCCAGCAATGCGAAAAGATTGGCCATGAATGCCAATATCGCGACTTGTTCGACATATTCCACAAAGATGAGACGTCTCTTGCTAGAGATCATGCACGGGAGAAATGGCGAAAACGGTCGACGAAGAGTGCAAATCGCTCATCTAGCGGAGACGATGCTCAATCCAATTCCGACTCAACCAAACCTTCCCCCTCCAGTCCTCCTCTAGTGGATGCACTGCAGCTTCCTCTAGACGATCGCGCCAGGTCCCGCTTCTATTTCGACTTTGTCGACGTCCGCTTTCCTTACCTGGAAATACTAGTACCTCGACTTTTGGGGGCGACAGCGGCGGATTCCCTCTTGCGATGTACTCTCTCGGCCGTCTGCTATGCAAATTTTGCTGGCCGTTTCAATGACCGCCAGGCAGCACGAGCCGGAGCAACGCAATACGGCAAAGCCATGCGCCAATTAGCAGGAACCATAGGTGATCCAGCAAAGCTGAAGTCGTTTGACGTCTGTCTTTCCGTGTATCTTCTATCCATGTATGAAGTTCTCGCCGGAGACAAGCTGGACGGTACATGGCAAGCTCATCTTAAGGGCTGCGGAGACGTTCTCCAGATTTATAATCCCAGTTCAATCAACACCGCAGCCGAGAGAAGGTTTTACAGAAGCATGTACACTCAGCAGGTAAACCAAACCCCATTGTCCTCTCTGACGGGACCATTGACATTTGACCTAGCTTTTGAGGCACATGGGACAGTATAGTGCCCCGCCTGCGGACTTGAATCGCTCGCAGGACCTTTTACCGCCGATTGACAGTACAATACAAACCCTGTTAGATCTAGTTCTCCGAATCAATATAGTATGCGTCAACCTACAGCCAAATCATCAACCCAAGGGAGTCGATATCACCGGAGCCGATCACTGCCTGGAAGACGCAGTGGAGCTTGGTTTTCAGCTCCAATCATGGTATCAGTCTCTCACGGAGGATTGGTGGTGCTCAGCCAAACCAATAGCGACGACCAACAGATACCAGTGGATATCTGACCTACTCAGCTTCCCGGGCGCGCCAAAAATAATGCACCAATACTCGTCGCCGCACGCAAAATTCTGCAGCAACCTCTATCACGTGGGCCGAATCCACCTCAACCTTAGTATGATCGACCATCTCATCTCAGTCTACCCACCACAGCAGCTGGATACCGCAATCATAAAAGATCTATCCTCCAAAATATTGTCCCACATCGACGTCATCATGAAAAACGTCCCGTCAACTCTCGGTATATCGCCCTCTGGAGGTTCTGAGGATCCGAGAACGGTGAATGACGTACAAGGCATGAAAGCATATCATGTTATGTGGCCGCTAGTCAAAACTTCGAGATGCTTCAAACGAAAATCGATCAAAGCCGCAGACAAAGACGGCCGGGGCCGCTGGATCAAGCATGTGTTGGAATTTTTGGGGCGGGAGTTGAGTATCAAGAAGGCGGCTGCGCACGCGACCTATTTTTGAGGTTAGCGACGGTGACAGTGGTCCCTGGAAGACAAGAAAGCCTACAAACCAAGCGTATTGAATGGTAATAGGGGCTTATTTGCAAAGGAACACACGGATGTTATAGGAACACACGGATGTTATACATGCTAGTTCCAAGACATATGCCAGTCACTCAAATTCCAAGGACTTCCAGAGGGGAAGAACTCCCAATACGAACATCGGTACATGCAAATGTCGCAAAACAAGATAATAGCCAACCCCCAATCCGAAATGACTTTTTCAAAGGCACACACTTCCTTGTCTTCTCTGCACCCCACCTGACCGACAAAGTGATGCACTTGCCCGCTTTGCTCTTCAAGAACCTCCAGTCAGCCTTCTGCTCACTTATCGCCATCCCTCGAACTCAATTCAATATACTTCGACCGCTCGGACTACGCACCCCCATTGTAACCCATCAGCTGTCCATGCTCAGACCCGTAACCCATATCATACCCTTGCTGGTACTGTATCGGCTCATACTTCGCCCCTCCTCTATTCCCACCACGCCGTTTCTTGTCGGGATTATGACCCTGGCCGGTGAACAGCAGATAGAACGCCCGAAAGACACCCTGCACGATGTCAGTCAGGTTCATGGCGTCAAAGACCGCCCTCCAGACTGGCATTCGGGGCCCGTCAGAACGGTATTCGCGGGAGCGGTAGGCCCAATGGAAGAGGAGCGAGAAGAGGAGGGACTCCAGGGCGCAGAGCATCATCGGAATGCCGTAGAAGATGTCATCGTAGGTGTAGGTGGCCGAAGGCGTGAAGACTCTGGAGTTCAGGAAGCCGAAGAGGATCTAGTCCGTTCGTACATGTCAGGTCTGCCGTCCTGGCTTTCGATAAGCTACTCACTTCTTGGAGGAAGAGAAAAATGACAATTCCCTTGAGAGAGATGAGTTTGCCCAGCGCGTGGTGCTCGGGAACCATCTCCTTCTTGAGACGCTTGTAGAATCGAATCACCGCTTGGATGGCGCCTCCGATGATGAAGATGTCGATGAGCAGGAGCTGCACGCGTCATTTTGTTAGCACAATGAGAGACCTGGAACTGGAATAGATAGTCAAGACAGACCCAGATATGTGCGTAACGAGGGCTCAAAGAATTACTGCAGAATCTGTCTGCTGCTTGAGTTACGATCTCGACAATGGCTGCGATCGTTTTCGTGAGAGGAAACTGCATGGCTTGGAGGTATATGTACTTTTTGGGAGGGAAATGTCAGCCATGTCTCACGCATCGGAAGAAAACTTTGTCCAAAAACCCACGTTGTACCATTGTAAACTTCCTCCAGGTCGCGTATTGCCCTTTTTGTCTTTTGCCGGAAGGTTGAAGAAATAAGTTGATCTCTCAGCCTCATTTGGACAAACGTATTCGAGGTACAGAAGAAACAGTGCTGCAACACAGAACGCCTCATACACTTCGATGAGAGGTTTGATGTAAATCGAGGCGGAGTAGAACAGTACCGACAGCAAACAGACGATGGAGAAGATGACGGGCATAGCAATAATGCGCACATTCTGCCGTTGTTCTCTCGGTCGAGTGTATCGATGCAGGTGCTTCCAAATAAGGAGGAGGGCACTCATCGTGGTGAGACCCAGCGCTCCTGCGATGATGTATATCATGAGCCATTGAAACGTGATTCCAATGGAGAGAGGTTCGCCTTTGTCGTGGGCCTCGGGATGGGCGCAGGTGAAGTTAGAGTCGTCCGATCCTCCAAAAAGCCCGCGGACTTGGAGAAGGTGAGCCATGATTGACATAGTCGTAGTCTAGAAGTCCGTGGTAATGAAAAATCGAGGACCTTTCGCCGAAAGGACAAGTAGCGCCGACGAGGCGATGAAGCGGCTTCCTGAGGAAGCAGGAAAAGCAGCGCCGTATCGTGTATCTGATTCTGAGTGGCACCAATGACTTGATAAAGAATGAATCTCTTGTCTGAGTCAATGAGACGGGGGTAATGAGATGGGAGTTTTGACAAGTGAATATTCACTCAGAAAACCTGCCCGTCTCGTTTTATGTACGCTTCTGATCGCTCTGAGGCATTGCAAAGATGCAGGTTACAAACTCGAACTGTCTCAGCTCTTGGTGTTGATCAGGCGGCCTGCCGCTTCAATCAGTCCGTGGTAGACTTCGAAAAGTCAATTTTGAAACTTGACCAAATCCTTCTTTTGAGTGCTCGGAGATCTAAAAATGACGAAACAACAACATGGAAGGGGCCATGTCCCATTTCGTGCAAGGGACAAGTGCTATATTCGCTCCCTTCTCCGCAAATAGAAGTCGTCCGGGTAGATCTCCATCGGTTCAATTGTGGACAGTCACACGAGCGCGAGTTAAATCCAAAACAACCAGGCCTCCATTCGGTTTAAGAGAAGATCAAGGACTCAAGGAGTGGCTATGTGAGGCTGAGAGCGATATCATTGGGGAGTAGCACTTACCTCTTATGGCTTGTATTGACATGTAGTATCAAGGCTGCTGTCGCTGATGTTGCCACAAATTGACAAGGGTGGTGGGATGTGGATGCCTGAGTGCCTGGTACGACTCTCGCTAGTACTACACCTCGTCGCCCAAGTTACTCCAAACGGACAAGCGCGTCTCCATAAGCGGACAACATCAAGCAATGGGATTTCGGGATGTGCGCCTCGTGCCTCCACTCTAACCATCTAATTCGACCATCTGGATATGAAACAGCAAAAAGTTCCAATGTCTGGACAGGTTGGACATGTAGTGGCTCAGCGCGTTGGTGATGCAATACCAGTGCCTGTCATTGTGTACACGGTCTCTGGAAGCAGCGGTCCCCCGGATATTGCAGGGTGATCATTCCACAATAAGGAAATCGCAGATGGTGATGAGAAACATATAAACATCACTCGAAGCTCGTGACTGTTGTTTGTTCTAACTGTCCGCACGCCTCCTCTTCGCAACCTGGATAAATCTTAAAATATCCCACTTTCTCACAAATCAACACCAACACTTTTGGAAACAGCCATGATTCACTTGGCCCGACATGCATATAAAAAATACAAAAAGCACAAGGAAAAAGAAATGGATCGAGGCCGTGAACCACTTGCTGCGGATCGAGTATACCCTCCCGGAGACCAAGACATCTCGCAAAACGCGTCCCATTCCCATGGATCGACAAACAGCAACAGTATAGCCGAAGGTACGACACTAGTATATGGGTAGATCTTAGCGACGACTAACGAATAAGGCAGGGCAAGGAGCAACCCATCAACCTGAAAATTACGTTGCCGAGCTTGAGCAAAGAGGAAAATGGATTTTCATACCAGAGGGAGCTGAAAATGAGCAAAATCAGACCGGTTCTGTGAGAAGGGATATGACCGACAAACCTGTAGAGCTGGGATAAAAGGAAGAAAAGATGCTTTCGGGTTTTCTCAAGGTGGAAAATTGGACGTGGAGACTTGGAGGTAGAGCGAGAATTTTTCTCATCGCCACCATCATCACCATCATCAGCTTGGTCTTTATCATTGGTACAATTGTTGCGATGGAAGATAACCCACTGCAATCTACAAGATATTGCCACGGTTGTTGCAGTGGAAGTTGCGATTCTTGCAATACCTCTTGGACCTCTCATCAGTGCACTTTTAAGCGAGTAGTTGAAAGATTCTTGTGTTGGAAAGCAGTGTGTATGGTCTAGATGCAAATGATGTGATGAGCGACGGATATAGTTCACAGCAAAATTCCACATCGCTGTACACTTCCTAGATTCGATTCATATCTCCTGTTGGGGCCAGGACCCATCATCTAGGTCTAGACCCACGGCGCCGCCGACGAAGTCTACACAGAAAAGTCAGCCTCGTTAGCTCGTGGAGCCTCGTCTAGACGCTCGGAGATCCCAAAGGCCTAGGTTTGCGCCTGAAAACCTATAAGTGCGGCTGAACATGAGGTAGGCACAACGAGAGTGCCGTGGTCTGGAAAACCCCTACCAATTGTGTATATAAACTCCCCCAGATACTCAATATCTGGTATGTATGCCTGGGAAGTGGTTGGATTGTCTCCGTTTAACTAGCTGTAGATATATTCTAAACAGGGATTAGAATTATGCTCAAGAGTGGATAGATGGAATGAAAAAGACATCTATCTTAACTACACTACTTATCTCGCTTTGGGCGAAATCGTGACAGAAATTTAAGTTTGGAATGCGGTGGTGGATGTGACACCACAGGCATTGGCGATGGCTTCGAGGTAAGCAAGAAGCCTTTCGGACGACAATGTATCGGGATGATCCGCCCCAAGCTTACTCTTCCGCAGTGCCACTACCTCCTCTGTCAGCGACAATGCCTCTACTCGTCGTCCGGCTTGACTATATTGAATTGCCAGATTGTGCATCGACCTCAACGTGTCAGGATGATCCGCCCCGAGCTTACTCTTATATAGTACCGCCACCTCCTCCATCAGCGATAGTGCCTCTTCTTGTCGTCCGGCCTCGCTATACCGAATCGCTAGATTATGCATCGATCTCAACATGTCAGGATGATCCGGCCTGAGCTTGCTCTTATGTAGTGCCACCACCTCCTCTACCAGTTGTAGTGCCTCTTCTCGTCTTCCGACCTCACCGTACCAAATCGCCAGGCTCACTGTTGATCAAGGTGAGTCTGAGATGCTCCGGGCTCGCGAAGCGAGTCCTGAACGGGGTGATCCGACGCTGCATCTTGGCCTTATAGCGATTCTATGCGTCCTGCAGATTCGCGCGGGCACGCCTCGTGGCTTAGCGGAGCATCGGCCGTACGCTGCGGAGGATCACGTCTAGCGCTGCAATTGAAGTGGCGTTGGTACCGGCTGTCGAGATCTGGTCGGTTTCCATCTTAGCTATACGCCGACAAATTTTGCGGAGCAGAAGACTAGAGAGATCTATGGTCTGACAGTCTACCGCCTACGCCAGTAGCCGAGATTGGAGGAGACACATAATTACCTTATATAGTGCCCGGCCTACTATAGGATTAGCCGCTTCCTCGAGATAACGCAGCATCCTTACCCTTAACAGCAGCTAAAATAGTGATCTCCTCCAGGGGACAAGAGCATCCTTAAATCGAACCTCATCCCTAATGCGTTTAGGAATCGATCGCACCGT